TTGTTGACTGCAACACTTTAGAAAGCTCAAAGACGCAGCGGCCAAAAAGAGTCGAGGGTCCTCGAGATTCTTCACCTAACCTCTCACCTCTCGGTTTGTTGGAGCCTTGGGAGAAAATTCACAGAACCCAAGACGGAGAGGGAGTCTTTTGGTTCTCATGGCCTGACAAAGAGAAAGCAGGTTTTTTAGAGACTCCCGAATTTGGCTTTAAAAAAGTGAAAATGAAAAAGAACGTGAGAGGTTCTCTAGTCTGAATATAGACATTTCAGCTCTTCACGGTTATGTAATAAGACCCCACACAGCAGAGAGAGAGAGGGTCACTGTGGACTTTGGTGGCTTTAAGTAAGAAGATGAAATCTCCCAGTGAAGCTCAGCAGCTCGGGCCAGCATAGTCTTCTGCTGTAATACCTGCTAATCTGCAAATGCATGTGCTAGCGACACCATATATGGGTCAAGCTTAATGCATAATGCATCAAAGAACCCATTAAGGACATACAGCATGATATGATGAATCCTTATGTGCACAGTGTAATGCAGCATGAGCATCCATGAGGCCGTCTTTATGCGCCGTCTGATGCATCCTCACAGCGCTGCGACTGAAGCCGAGCCAGATGCCTTCAAACTGGCACACACACACACACACACACACACACACGGCGTCAGAGAATGCCTCCCCGTCCTGAAATCACTCCTCCAGGGAGCGGCCGCGCATCATCGACACACAGAACCGGTTCTTGGAAGATGTCCGTGTTGTCTGCTTTCTGCCTCCTGAGCAGCGATTATGATTTGTATCATCGTGTATCATCGCAGATCGAGGTAAGAGGATTAGACGCCCGTTCTGCCAGAGAGGCTGCTGTGTTGGATTCACAGACGAGCCACGTTAGCTCACCATCTGGGGGAGCAAATATGTTCGTCCCCCCGGCTGCCAGGCCTCGATGCAAAGTTTGAACACAGTTCGACACGCACATACTACACCAGCTTTGATATACAGACAGGAATACACAAAGCACCCGGAAATTTGGCTTAAAAGGGTAAAAACAACAACAAACATATCACAGATGAAAGTCTCCATCAAGCATCCACAAACATCACAGTATGAAGAAGCATTAAAGCATAAATTTATCTTTCTGGATTTTTTTTAAAAGCGGCTCACACTCCATTATTGACAGCTTCAATGTTTACTTCAAGAAAAAAAAAAGATACTCATAAAAACAGAAACTCAGAACATTTACTGTCCTCCACTGGCTGATAGAAACATCATATTAAGGGCGCGGTCACACTGGTCATCTGTACCGTGCTGTACTCAAGCACGATTGCCCCGCTGCGCCATACCCGCTGCCGGCAACCCACGGCCATAACCTGCTAAAAGCACGATCACCTTTGTACATAACGTGAAGCGTGCTCAGTTTACAAAGGCGGACGAGAGAGAGAGAGAGAAAAAGAGACGCGCAGTCAAGTCAAGTCTGCACATCAGAGAAAAAAAAACAGAGAGCCTGACAGCTACTTTTCTGACTTTGCAGCTTATTTTAAGCCATTTTAATCAGACACAGCCATAAATAATAAATAAAATAGACGCGTGGCCACATCGGAGAACAACACAGAGAACATGACAGCTACTTTGTGTCTCATATTGTGTCATGTTAGTTAGATACAGCCATGAAACTCTGGATTTCTCCATAATGAAGGCTGTCAGTGTTGTGTACCCGCGTGCTTGTGCTCATGCATGAAGTGTACCGTGCTGAAGCACACCTCTCCAAAGTGTGCCAAAGACAAGGAAGTGTACCGTGCCTGAGCACGATACGGAGCGGTCACATTGATCTAACGAACTGGACTTTAGCGTTGAAGTGTGCTTGGGCACGGTACGGATGGCCAGTGAGACCGCTCCCTAAGAAGCCACACATCATATTAAAGGTCACATATTCTCCTCATCTTCATCCAGTTTAAATAAGTCCCAGAGCTCCCCAAATCATGTCTATAAACCCCTTTATTTCAGCCCTGCTCAGAACAGCCTGTTTCTGTGTCTGTACCTTTAAATATGTAAATGAGCTGTGTCTGACCACGCCCCTCTCTGGAAGGGCTTGGGTGTCTCAGTCTTTCTCGCTCCATGTTCTATTGTTTACAGTGAGAAGGCAGACTCAGAGTGCAGAACAAACACCTAGCTGTGGGAGTGTCACCCACCTGGGGGAGGGGTTACTGCCCTTTGTGATGTCATGAAGGGAAAATCTCCAAACGGCCTGTTTGAGCACACATTTTCTGAAAAGTGGAGCAGGCAGATGACGGAGAGGATGGACTTTTTTCATTATTTGGGGGTTTGTAGACAGACTAGGCTTAGCTTTATAACCGCACATTCATCCACAGGTGAATAATTGAGTTAATGAGTCAACAACAGGAGGATCACATTGAAAGGAGAAAGAGGAGGAAGTGGAGATATTCTCTCTGCAGACTGTCGAGTCATTCTGCTGAGGTTTTCTGACACAAAGTGAGAGGAGCGTTAGCTCGGACACAAATCTGTCAGCCTGAAGCAAAACCAAAACAAAGCTGTCGACAATTTGACCGTCACAGAGTGATGGATGTGAGCGCTCCGTCTCTCACAGACACAACGAGCAGCTGTGTTTCGGAACCAGAGATTCACACACGACTTCAACTCTTCCTTGCTCAAGAGCTCGTCTACAACATCTTTGTATAAAATACAGCGTGATCTGATTCAATACGACGGAGCCTCTCCATGGGGGTGTGTCTCTAGAAAGCCCAACACTCCCCCACTAATGGGTGAAGAGATGAACTGGCGAGGTTAGAAAAAAAAGCAATCTGGAAATGAGAGCTGTCGGACAAAGAGAGCGAGAGATGAGCCATTAATCAAAAGCGCTCCTCTCATTATCATTAGTGAGAAACGCTGACTGCCCGTGTCTGTGACTCCACAGGCCTGCTGGAAGTTTCTCCTGCAACAACACCACGTCAACACAAAGAGAGAGAGAGAGAGAGAGAGAGGGGGGGGGGGGAGGAGAGAGAGAGAGAGAGAGAGAGAGAGAGAGAGGGGGAGAGAGGAGAGAGAGAGAGAGAGAGAGAGAGGGGGGGGGAGAGAGAGGGGAGAGAGAAAGAGATAGAGAGAGAGACAGAGGGCGAGAGAGAGGGAGAGAGTAAGAGATAGAGAGAGAGACAGAGGCGAGAGAGAGGAGAGAGAGTAAGAGATAGAGAGAGAGACAGAGGGCGAGAGAGATAGAGAGAGAGGGAGGGAGGGAGAGAGAGAGAGAGGGAGAGAGACAGAGGGCGAGAGAGAGAGAGAGACAGAGGGTGAGAGAGAGGGAGAGAGGGAGAGGGCGAGAGAGAGAGAGGGCGAGAGGGCGAGAGAGGGCGAGAGAGGAAGAGGGGGAGAGAGAGAGCGTCCTCTGGAGGGAGAAAAACAGAAACCTCTGTGCTTCTACAAAAAGAGAATGTAAGCATTTCTTTATGCTAATCGTCTCAGACAGGAGAGCAAATGTCAAACTCATTCATCACAAAAAAAAACTCTTCTATTAGGAGTTCATACAGTTTGGAAAGAACAAAAAACTCTGATTCTGCAGAGAGTTCAGGAATACGTTCTTTACTTGAGCATTTATTTTGACGGTTTCTTTTACGTCTTAGCTCAAATGTCTCCACATTTTCAAAACAAGCCGAGCTTCAATGCATTTCTTTTTTCTGCAAACTGCACGTCCCCGACTTCACATAAAAACAGAAGACACAGCACAAAAAGAAGACCTTTTCTTGGTGTTTTCATGAAGGCACATCATGAAAGATGAGCAATAAGAGGAAGACAACGTCTGGATGCTTCAAGAAGTGAAGAAAATCCTTCAATTTTCATACTGTGAAGACTTTTCAGAGCCTGGATGGAAAACTTTTAGTGTAAGAAACCAGTTACAGACCAACTCTGACTTCACCAGAGTCTATTTTAAAACACCTTTCTGTAGTTCTGCATGAACAGATCTAAAGTTTGTCTTCACCTCCTGTGAACTAACCGCAGCTTAAGGAACGCCTCTCATCGTCTGTAGATTTTCATTCAGGTGTCAGATTTCAGATGAAAATAAGTAAACAAACGAGTGTGTTTACCTCCTTGGTGTGCCGTCCTCATGCGGCTGGATGATGACCACTTTGACGCTGACGGACGTGCGCAGCAGGTCGATCATTTGCTCGTGTGTCAGAGTGGCGACGGCCACCTTGCAGATCTCCACCAGCCGGCTGCCCTGCCTCAGCCCGGCCTTCCAGGCGAAGCCGAAGGGCTCCACGTCGGCCACGATGCCTTCAAAGTTCACGTGGAAACCGAGCTGCCCGAGGCTGTTCCGACGCAGGGTCATCTCTGACGTCTCACAACCTCTGGTGGTGATCTGGAAGAGAAAGAAAAACGTTTTATTAGAGACAAAAGAGGACGATTATTCGGGGCGCTGGTGGCGCAGTGATTAGAGCGCACGCCCCATCGGCCCAGGTTCAAATCCGACCTGTGGCTTCTTTCCCACATGTCATTCCCTACTCTCTTACTCCCTGATTTCAGACTCTATCCACTGTCCTATCTCTCTAATAAAGGCACAAAATGTCCAAAAACAAATCTAAAAAACAAAAAAAACACGACGATTATTCATCTTCTGCACAAACAAGAACAGTAAAGAGGAAAGAACTGGTGAAGGAGAGAGGATGGTTATAAGATTCTGTTGTCCTGTTTTGTAAAACATTCATGTTTTCTGAGAGATCTGAGCAGCTTTTCTAACAGAAACACACGAGGAAAAAGATGAAAGCAGGAGCGTGTTTGTTTGGCTAATTCAGAGAAGCATTCCAAATGGAAGTTAATGAGAGGGCACATCACAGAGCTAACTGAATTAGCCTCAGCGCTGCACACAGACAGCTCGACACACATGTCCGTGCACACATGAATACACACCTGTCTATAAGGAAACACTAACTTTAGCAGCTTGTGGTTGTGAGGGGGGATTAGGATCAAATTGAACGCCGAGATACCGATTTGTCCACAGGACTAAGTCTATTAACCCGGGTTCACTCATAAAAAGACTCAACGTTTATACGCCCACGTTTAATCTGCATCAACATGCAGCTGATGAAAACACTCGTTCACATCCTAAATCTTTTCATCCTCTCATTGCCGCTCTGGACTCCGCAGCCACAGACTTGAGACTTCACCCATTGGGTTCTTGGAGGACGGCCACGCTCGTCCAATTGCGTGCTTGGATGAAACTAAAAGGTTGGTTCTGGTCCAATCATGTCCCTGCATGCAAATCAAGTTGCTCACGTTGCTCAGTGGTGGTTAAGCCGCTGCTTTAATGAATTTCAGGTTCAGCTAAAGTTCAGGCAACCCCTCTCGCTTCAGCTGCAACATTTCAGTGAATCACGCAACCAGCAGACGGAGGTAAAAAAGAGCAGAAGCAGCTCATCCCGAGTTCACCCTGATGACATGAAGTGAGTGAGTTTATGTAAAGCTGTAGGTACACTGCAGCACCGGTCGTTTTTCCTCTTCACTTTCATGTGACACCGATGAGGAGAAATCTCACACTGCATCCAATCAGCTTTTAATCAGCCGTCTGATTAGTCCCGCTTTAGTTGTGGGTGAGTGCCTCGGCTCGCCTCAGAGTGGCAGCTGGTTTCATGGACACATTAACTCAGACTGCAGCCTGTCAACACTCGGCCAGATTCTCACACAGGCAGAAATCCAACCCGCTGTGAGAGAGAGAGAGAGAGAGAGGAGGCCCAGGCAACCGTGATGGAGCCCGCAGTGAGACACCTCCCTCAAACTTCATTAAAGAGTAACTAAACCCTAAAACCACTTTTTTCAACTATAAACCTCTGTATTTGAGTATTAAGTAGTGTTATGGATCAATCCAAGTCCCAATCTCGACATTTGAGTACAAAGTATTGAAATTTGAAATATTGTGTTAGAAATGTGCAGAGTGTCTGCCCTTCAGTTTGAAAAACTCTAACGGCTGTGTAGCGTACAGTATGATGTAGGACTACAGCCCTACGTCACCAAACCTATAAAACCCTCGTTACCCGACTCTGCGAACTGTGGGGACTCAAGTGTGTGTGTGTGTATTTGTGTGTGTGGGGCAAACATTGTATCATGTTGCGGCTGATAACGTGAGTGGGGGAGTTTGCCCCCCCTCCCTCTCTAAGTTGATACATTCTCCTGATTATTCTGCTCTGGTCCCCGGCATCATAACATGCCTCTCGCTCACACCTGCCGAACACACACTCTCTCTCTCCTCACTCGCTCCCCCCACACACACACACACACACACACACACACACACACACACACACACACACACACACACACACACGCGCACTGAGCCCTGAGCCTGAGTCACTGTGTGTGTGTGTGTGTGTGTGTGTGTGTGTGTGTGGCAAACACTGTATCATGTTGTGTCTGATAAAGGCGGGAAGGAGTGAGTGGGCGACTTCACCCCCCGGCCCCCTCCCTCTCCAAGTTGATACATTGACGTTCTAAATGCATTCTTTGAAATTCCAGGGTAGAGCAGTAGAGCTGAAAATATGGGGTTTAGTTACCCTTTAAGTGAGGACAGGAGACGGGCCCTGGTTCTGGTGTGAGAGAACACGAGGAGTGAGAGATGAAGTTCTTCAAATTTCACTTTTAACAACGACTCAAACTATGACGCAAAGCAAACCACAACTGTGATCGTAATAACTATAAATACTGCACAATGTATGTTCTCTTTGCCTATCAATATGTTTATTATTGTTTATTTCTATTTGCATGGTTCCTGTTTCCTGTAACCTGCATGGGAGTACAGCTAGCATTCCTGCTAATCATGTTTACAGCCTCACAGACTGTTTCATGGACTCTCATATTGACAGTCTGTGGTACATGTGTCCGGCTGACCAACATGTTTCCTCACACGTCTAAACGATTGTTGACGTTAAACTACAGCGCTGCCCCGAGGAAAACGAACGTCGTCTGATGTGTTGTCATGTGGAGTTGTTGGTGTTGACCTTCAGTCGGAGTCTGACAGTCAGAAGAGGATCTGACAACGACGACACGCTGTCATTAACGTCTGAGTCGAGCGAGTTAACGAGGAGAGAGGAGATGACGGTAAACTCACAGATGACACAGTGATCATTTAAGATGCTGATTAAAAAGCAAACAGTGATTGGACTTTGATATTTCCAGACTGAGCATCATGTGTGAACACAAACAGCTGAATGTTTGAGTTTCTCCTCCAGCCTCCTCGTATTTATTCTGCAGAAAGTCAGAGTGAGCTGATGTGAGAACGCAGCAGGATATAATCAGGAGAATTCACCTGGAGCGAGTGGGAGGGGGTGGTGACGTTTATTCCCTGTGATCGCTGCACGACCATAGACTGTCTGCACGCCACCTCTACCATCTCTGTGCTCTAATGAACCTGCTGCATTATGTTTCCTGTTCTCCAGGATGTTCTTCTCCACTCTTTAGTTCACATTGAGATTCTCTTCAACTACACGTAGCATTGATAGAAAGACACATATTCTCATTGTAGTGTTGTATAGAGGACTCTGCTGCTTCTTACCTCAGGAGATGTGCATGAGACAAGGCTTCTTGACTTTCATGTCAACCTCTTTTTTGCATCATGTTTTGGGAGTGCATGTGTGAAAACAGCTTAAGAGACTCAGACTTCTTTATGCAAGGAACTAAAAACGAGAATAAAAAGCACCAAGCCAAGACGCCTTGTCTCATAAAGGCTGAACACCCGGCCGCCCAGCTCAGCGACACCCTGGAGAGCTCGACGGTATCACAAAGCTTTTAGTTGAGCTCTCACATGAGGCTCCTCTGTGTGCGTTTCTGTGGGCAAACTGTTCCCTCTGGTTCACATGACATCACAGATCCGGCAGCCTCTAAATCCTCTAAATGAAACACGACTCGAGTCGACGTTGCGGACACCTTTGGGATAAAGTTTGCACCGTCAGCTCGAACCCGACTGCATCGACTGCTGCAGCTTCACCGTCTCATTGTGAGCTTTAACTGTAACAAAACTCTCTCAAATCCCCGGGGGTGAGAGGACAGAACATGTGAGGGGATATTAGCATACTGAATGAGGAGCCGATGTCCTTTGGCTAATCAGAAATGCTAATGTATCCTGCTCTGTCCTTTCTCATGACGAGCCGAGACGCTGAATGACATCCGTGTCCTTTAAAGATGAATTATGGTAAATTCTTCAGCAGGCTCTCAAGACTTCAGAGGTGCACATTTACTTTGACTACTTTCTGGGCTCTTTGGGGGGAAATCGCCTGTAAGCGTGCAAGAATCTCAGCCTAAACTCCTCAAAATGATGCAGTTTGCTCGTGTTTTGATCACAGAATGGATGCTAACACAGATCATATCCCGGCTTGTTTCTCTTTGGGAGAACTGAAGACTGTTAGAAGTAAACCATGGAAGCAGAAATAAGGCCATGCACAGCTCAGGCTTGGATTTCAGGAATCAAACTCTCTCTGTTTGATGGAAACAAAGAGCTGCCTGATTAGAGGTTCAGTAAACAAACCGTGGAAACTCGAGAGGAACAGCGAGCTTATACAGGAACACAAGCAGCGGAAAGAAAAGGCACGGGATGCCAGCTCCCGGGCGGAGGAGGAACCAGGTGTTTTCATCTATTTTCTCAGAGCCACCTGACCACAAAAAACCCACAATACATCTGAAGCCAAAGGAGTTGTATAGATGGAAAAAGCAGGACTAGAAAACGGGGATAAGAGGAGAACTTGGGCTGAGTGGCTGAGCTCTGTGTCCTCTATTCTTAGTCTGTCTGCCCCCAAAAAAGTCTCTGTTTCCTCTCCTCGCCTTTAAAACTGGGTTACTGTCCTGTTTAAGAGGCCTCCTCCCCCTCCCCTCCCCCTCCCCTCCTACCTGCACCCAGATATCTGAAACATTAAGAACACTTCAGATCACATTATCGTTAATCTACAAGCCCCATTTCCACCAAAAGTCCCAGAAGCATATTTTTAGGACCTGAAGGTTCTTCAAGCCTCAAATGAGATGTGAAGACCTTTAAAGCAGACAGGGAGGGGGGGATTCTCAAGATGTTGTCTTCTGAATGTGGAACGACTGACATGACAACCCCGTTTTCAGAGCATCGTTGCAATCTTTTATCGACTAAAAAAAATAAATAAATAAATAAAAATCGGCCATCGCTGAGACTTAAAGTTATTCTGTGTACTTTCTGCTCCGCAAATCTTCCAAAAACTACAAATGCTCGGCTAATCAGAAATGTTTGTCGACCAAGGGCCACGGTCAAAGTCCCTGCACTTTCAAAAACATCCATTTCCCCCGTGCACAAATCTTTTGGGGGTTAAATAAAGCCTGTTAGACTTCATTCTGAGCCTGGCCCCCGCATTGGAAACCCCTCAAGTTCCTCCAAAAGCCCCTGGTCTCAGGGGAAGGTTCCTGCAGGGGAAACACAGCTTTTCCCTGCGTTAAACAATGTGTCAGCTGCAGGAGGAGGTTTTGTTATTTTTGAATGAAAACACTACGATGTTTGATAATAGTTTACCCTGAGCTGGAAAAACATCTGTACTCGTGTGACTCAGACGTTTGGCCGTAAAGCTCATCTGATTCTGAGTGATGATCCAAAGAAAGCAGGAGGTCTGTAATCCTCTCTGGACTCTGTGGACTTCACAGTTTCACATTGAAGTGACGCTCCTGTCCCTGAACAACCCAGACGGGACGGGGAAACATTCTGCAAGGAGCAAAATAAAATAAAACTGTGGAGTTGTGAGTCGAGTTGCGACACATCAGACTTGACAGGATGGATATAAGTAAGGAAAGCATCGGTTCTGCTGAAATAATGGTGAAATCAAATAACACGGCTTGTGGTCAGAAGTAAAGCTGCGATGGTAAGGGCAATATTTTCAGAATGCATTGTTCCACCGCAGAGAGACCACAAATATCCCAAAGTCAAATACCTCCCTGCTCCATTTAAAGTCAAAGCCGCCATTTTCTTCCCATGGCGTGCAGCTGCGTGTGAAAACAGTCAGAAGAGATTTACTGAGTGATTCTGAGGATAGATCACACACCATGTTTTACTGGTGTTACTTACAGTTTAGTTTGTTGGCTGGATTTAGTAAAGAACAATAAAACTCAAACTGTTAAGCTAATAAAAAGTTAATGACACAGGGGTCTCTATGGTGGCCCAGCAGGACTAAAAGCATGAACCAGGATCCACCCAACGTTTCTCCCAACTAACACTACGTCTGTTGGACAGAGACGAGACGAGCTCATCGAGCTAACCACTGTGACATCTCTGATATGTACGACAAAGAGAGGAGCATCATTTAAAAGAGCATCCAAAGCTGAAAGAGCGGCCAAGGTTTAAAAAGAGCGACCAAGGCTTAAAGAGCGACCAATGTTTAAAGAGCGTCCAATGCTAAAAGAGCAACCAACGCTTAAAGAGCGTCCAATGCTAAAAGAGCGACCAATGCGTAAAGAGCGACCAATGCTAAAAGAGCGACCAACGCTTAAAGAGCGACCAAGGCTAAAAGAGCGACCAAAGCTAAAAGAGAGATCAAAGCTAAAAGAGTGACTAAGGCTAAAAGAGTCACCACATCTGGAAGAGTGACCATGGCGAAATGAGCGACCGAGGCTGAAAGAGGGACCGAAATGGTGAAGATGAACTGACCATGCATAAGAGAAACAGTCTGGATTTTCTTTAAAATACACACCAACGTGCAGAAGATATAGTCCTTGTCGCAGCAGCCGTGGGTTTGAATCTGACCCCGGCTCTTTGCTGCACGTCATCTCCCCACCCTCTCCTCCCACTCTCTCTTCAGTTGTCCTTCTAATAAAGGCAAAACTGGCCCAAAAACTATCTTTTGTGGGATGGCCAAACGAAGCACTTGAGCTCTGAACACCTGCAGTAAAAACTTAATCTGGTGTCTGGAATAAAGAGACATGATCAACATGTTTGAATAAACACTGTTTCTGCCCTGGATACAATGAGGACAGAGAAGAAAGCTGCAATCTTTTGTAACGAGGACAAATGGCTGCAAGCTCGCCGTAAAAACCTAATTATGACGAGCAGCCTGAAGCTCTTACCACCTGTGTTTTCATGTGTTTTATGAAGCAGACTCATTAATGAGGATGCAATTTGTTAATCTTTTATAAGTTTTAAGATTCAGATCATAATTAAATAAAGTAACTGTCTTAAAATGTTGTTTTCACGGCTCTGAATCATTGAACACACTAATCAGCTATCGTTTCTTTTAGCTTTAGCATTTAATGATTTCTGGCCGAGACTTCCTTCTCCAGTCGTCGGCTTTGTTTCAGTCTGATATGTACGACAAAGAGAGGATGATATGTACGACAAAGAGAGGAGCATCGGAAACCAGATCATGTTCAACACTTAACACCATGTACCATACAGATTCTGTGATTATCTGCAGAAACTGTAACTAAAGATGTGTGTATGTGTGTGTGTGTGTGTGTGTGTGTGTGTGTGTGTGTGTGTGTGGTACAGAAAAGGTATGTCAGTATCTAAACGTGCTGTGTTCTGTGGGGTGGATGCAGAGGCGCTGCTTGTCAACAGGCAAGGCAGGCAACTGCTCGGGGCCCCAGGCCAGTAGGGGGGGCCTTGAGGGCCAACAAACTTTGCACCACAGCAGCGGCTTAATATGTGAAAAATGTTCCAATGACAGTAGGAAACACCCTAAGGGGGCCCCTTCTGACAACACATATCCTTGTTGCCCTGCAAAGGCACAGCATGCATTGCTGTTTTGAAAACTAAAGACCAAAGAAAGAAAGAAAATGAAGAGGAGTAAGCGTAGGAACACTGGTGGTGATAAATGCTGTTTGGAGGCCCCCTAATGAATTTGTGGATGGAATGTTTTAAAAGCTGATCATCATCATTGTTCTCTGAAATCTTCTTGCAGAATGATTTAGTTCTCATACTGACGACCTGACCTATAGGGGATCATCTGGACCTCTGTGCGGTCTTGTCCGGCTCTCATTAAGACATGTGAGATGACAGAGATTATTACAGCTCAGACTTTAATGATCTTACCTCCAGTCTCTGCACCATCTCCCGGATGTCCTCCCCACAGTTGTCGTGAGCACACAGCATGACACACTCCCCGCGCTCGTAGAAGATCTTAATGCTCATAATCCCCGAGGTCCACCCGATGACGTCCCGACAGGAGCAGTTGAACACCACGTTTTTAGACTCCTCCTCGATCAGCACGATGAACTCGTTAGATATGCCGAGCAAACAGTCCACGTCCGCCGACTGGCCGAAGTCCCGCGCCCGCACGCTCCAGGTGACGGCTCCCACACTGAGCAGATGTGCGTCCTTCCTTGGCTTCACCTTCTCCTTCTTCTTGGCGCCCAGCGTGATGAAGCTGAACTTGACGGCGTTGTCTATCGTCGTCGTGCTCACAAAGTTCTCGGCCAGGTCCTTCAGGTACTCCTGCCGCGTCCGAGTCGCCATCGCCCGGAACTTCTCAGACTTGTGCGCTGCGTTTTCGCCGTTGATGACCTTGGCGAGCAGGAAGTCCCTGAAAACGGCCGACTTTGGGAACGTTACAGACTTGGGAATGGGAGGGCCGAACGGAGGCACGTCTTTAGACCTGGACACGGACACGCTGGAGACACAGGAAGGAAATATTAATAACATGAAGTGGGAGCCGCTCAGAGAAACATAAGAATATGAAAGTGTGACTTTAATGAGAAACTATTTCAGTGTTCATTTGTGTTGAACAGCAGCTCAGACTAATCTCTCTCTGTTCAACACATGCTCTGTTATTAAAATGAGCCGTCTTGACTTCACTATCCGTCGCAGAGAGAGTCGTAAGTTATAATTTCAAAGTGTCTCTGAAGATAATAACTGTATCATCACCTAGCAGATCAAACGAACCACAGGCAGCTCTCAGCAGCCTATTATTATTATTCTTTTAAATGAAGTGCCCTTAAAAGTTCATGGAGAGCCATTTGGCAAGAAAAGATTTATGCAGAGCACATCCATAGATAAGCACGTTCCCATAAATCGTCTGAAGGGATATTATTCTGCATCAAGTCCAGAGGTAAGGAGTGAAATATCTGAGAGCGAGAGAGAGAGAGAGAGAGAAGGAGAGAGAGAGGGGCAGAGACAGAAGGAGAGAGAGAGCGAGAGCTCTGCAGCCTGCAGTAATCTCCTTACCTGTAGCAGACGTTATCAGTGCACGGGTTGTGGACTTTGACGATGACAAACACATGTTGGAAATGAGAGCGGATGTGTTTGGGAGTGAAGGGAAGGGCCCCAGGCTCCTGGAACACGATGGTGACGATATCATTCCCGATGTGCCGCTTCCTTAGTAACTGCAAAAGAAGGTAGAAAGAAAAAGAGTCAAAGACAAGAAGAGGAGGGTCGTGTGGAGGAGGTGAATGGTATGTGTTAGGTCGAGAGTGCAAAGATTTAAAACCCTGCATTCTTTCTTTCAGATAAGATCAGCTCACTTCTGCCATTGAAATATTAAAGGTTATAAAGACGAAAAATATATCGCTGTGTTTTAGCAGATGACTGCTCCATTTACGCAGCATCTGATGGCATCATGGTGTGGAAAGGTATGCCTATAAACCCCTCTATTTCAGCCCTGCTCAGAACAGGCTGTTTCTGTGTCTGTACCTTTAAATATGTAAATGAGCTGTGTCTGACCACGCCCCCTCTCTGGAAGGGCTTGGGTGTCTCGGGCTTTCTCGCTCCATATCCTATTTCTTACGGTGAGAAGGCAGATTCAGAGGGTCAGAACAAAAACCTAGCTGTGGGAGTGTCACCCACCTGGGGGAGGGGTTACTGCCCTTTGTGATGTCATGAAGGGAAAATCTCCAAACGGCCTGTTTGAGCACACATTTTCTGAAAAGTGGAGCAGGCCAAAGAAGGAGAGGATGGACTTTTCTCATCATTGGGGGGTTTGTAGACAGACTAGAGACACATATTAGAGTTAGAGAAACACAGTGAAGTGGATTTTAAATAATACGGGCCCTTAAATTTTCAGGATGTCAAACTGGAAAATGTGGAAATGTCGAAAATCAGACGTTTAAATTGAGATAAATATCTTTTTGAATGAAGGAGGCGACACAGTTTTTTTGCTGGAGCAGACATTTTCCCTCCAAACCTAATTCATCCTGCCTGCATTGTTGTGTCGAGCAGGCGGTTAACCTCGATCTGTGGCCTGTATGAAGTCGTCAGAGAGGGTCAGAAAGAGCCCGAAACAACCGGGATTAGAGGGGACAGAGGTGAATTGAAAAGGATGAAAGGATGAGAGCTGGAAGATTAGCAGCGGGATTAAATTAAACTATTCCACTCCATGAAATCCAACAGGAGGAGCAGGGAAGGAAAGAAGAAGAAAAACATTCACATCCCGCCAATGAGACGTTTGACATGCTGACGGATCGCATATCTCCGCACTCTCCATCCGTGCCACATTACTTGGTATCTTCACCATTAAATTCTCTGCAGAGTCGAACCCGCAGGTTTTTATTATGGGCTCTAAAAATACGCCCATACATTCAGCCATCGCAGCTTTATGGGGGCCGCCGCTCCACAGCTACATCCACTTAATTCCACTTGTTAGCGCAGACAGACACAGAGGCCCCGTCTCAAACCGCGACAGGTTCCAGCCCCTGGGGATGCATTGATTAAAAAACCCTACTATGGGGTACAGTTACCATGGCAACACTCATGCTTTCAACTGATAGGTCATTACTGTGGCAAAATGAGCCTCAGAGGGAGACGGGAAAGAGAGCGAGATTGAGGGATTGAAGATATCCTTAAAGGGAAGCTGCTCGAGGACCGCCATCACCACACACACAGAAAAACAAACATGGAGGTCTGCCGGAGGAGAGAGGGGGGAAACGATGTGTTCACTGACCTGCTGTCTGTTGTTGGGCGTGTGGGGGAGCATGGTGGACACGTGAAACATCAGCTCGTAGTCCTTGTAGGTGGTGTAGAGGGAGTGAGTGCCCGTGGAGTCGGCTGTAACACAGGACAGAAAGGTTATGATCTCAGAACTCAGATTTATTTATTCTGCAGGCCGGGCATGTTAGCAACAGGTTCACATATTTTTACATCTTCTGTGTATGTAAGTCGTTTCTTATTGTGTTTACATGGAAAGTCGAGACGCCTCATCTTAACGTGCACAACATTCATACGACCAAAACGGCCGTGTGGGGGTGCCTTAAAACTGCCTTCCCTTCTCTGGTCCAAACAAATCCAGAGCATTCAGGAGCAGAATCTAAAGTTAGAAGGAGGACATACTGGCTGCTGCATTGTTGTCAGAGAAGCCAGCACTTCAACATAGCATGTTTCCTTAATGTCTGATCATATAGTAAGGTCACTTTATCATCTCACTCACTACACATCTTACTGATTGAACCTTTAAAACACAAAGAAAGGAGAGATAGAGGCGGAAGATCAAATAAAAAGGGAATAGATGAAGCTTCAGTGCAGACTAGCAGTATGCTGGTGATGTAACTGAATAAACAGGATATAGACTTTATAAAAAATGAAGAACAGGAGAACATCTGCACTCAGCAGCGTTGGGAGTGTGTGGGCTGCGCTCTGTTGAAAGTGTGTTTTATCTTACTCTTGTTATCCAGCTGAGCTCTGTACTTTGTGAAGCCTTTGAGCCGCACCCTCTGGCCGAGCAGATCCAAGAACTCCTCAAGAGCCGGACCGGCGCTCTCGTTGTTGTACATCTCCTCCTCCGTGCTCTGCCCCGCCTTGCAGTAAAGCACCCCCACCTTGTGCTGGAAGCTCAGCTGGATGGGAAACACAAACACACACACACACACACACACACACACACACACAGTGAGTATCACGTCCTCTCACAGCACTCATCGTGTACATTATTCACTCAGAATGTGAGAGAGCCCGCTTTCCATCATGTCACAGCTAATGTGAAGACTTTCAGAACCCTTGGAGTAAAGAGCTGAAATCCCCTTCACTGAAGCCGGGCTGTGAACTCTGAGAGGAGTATAAATCAAAGCGAGCTAATAGCCGCTACTTAAGAGCGGCTGAGCGAGACCAGGAGTGAATTACAAACTTACTGAGAGATAGTTTGGATTAAGGCGGAAAACTATAAACTTCCAGCAAAAGCATTTTAATCCTGTTTAAAAAAAATAAAACATCCATAAGCAATATTTTGTTTGGATAAGTCTTCCCTCGAGAGGAGAAAGATTCGTAAGAGGCACTGAAAGGAAACAACGCTGATCCCCCCCGACAGCCCTCTAATAACTCTCTGAATGCACTCATTACTCCACAAACAACGTTTATTTATGGAGCTCAAAGTGAGCAATAATATCACATCATGACTTACTCACAGTGCAATAACACATGTACAAAAAACCTCTTGTATGCATTCGAGCTCAACAGAGACCCACACTTAATTGGCGGCTCTGGTTCTGGAAATACATTTCCCCGGTTCAAATCCTCTGTTGACATTTCACAAAATATATAGGAATTATATGAAGAGATTGAAGCATGTAACCATGACAACCAGCTAACCCAATACCCGTGATGACAGTGCATTTGATTCTGCGCCAAAACAGCGTTAAAGAAACGGAGAAAAAGTCAAAGGTACAGGACAGTGTGCATTATTTTTGTCCTGGCAGCCAAGGCACTACATATCCCACAATCCCTTGCAAATGATAGCTCTTCTTCTTACAAGTGTTGTACTTTGTAGAATATATAAACTACTTTCACTGCTGCTAACATCGTGTTAGCTAACTAACTAGCTAGCCTGCTTTAGCAGAACTATTCATTTGCATACGGCTCAAAGGAGTGGGCTACATTGCTATGGTAACAGCGAGCTCCACCAATAAGAGAGGCTTCTGTGACACTCTATGATCGTGGGTAGAGTAGTTCTTTTCCCCATTATAGTGAATAAACCGTGTTGTTCTTTAAACAAGGTTGATATCAGATGAACTTTTGTCTCCTACAGGAGCGTTAACCATCGCTCCACACTCAGGTAGCTCGTGGTCAGTTTACCTGGGATGGTTATGACATCATGGCGAATAATCCAATCGGCTATGTAGAAAATGAACAGTGATTTTAACTTGTGGAACCTCAGTGTTGAGCTCTATCATACATGTGCAAAAAATGTCTTATATGCAACAATAGATGTTTTAAATATGATCTCGTGCAATGATAGATGTGAAAATTTCTCAGGACAAAGATTTTATTTTTATCATTTAATAGAGTGTCTCCTTTTTATTTCCTCAAAGTGTGTATTTTGTTTTTCCCTGCTTACCTCCCACTTTCATTAACCAATGAGTGATGTCTCGCTGTGAGTAGGAAGGGTATTTAACCTGTACTGTTTTAATCTGAGGGAGGCACAGTGCGTTGAAATGTTGATCCTTTGCACATGAATTAATTTGCCTTAAGGGATTCTTGTGCTCCAGTTCTTTCTTTGGACTCTGTCTTTATTCTGAACGTATAAGATCCTTCTCTGAGAGCATCGACCTCTGTTTGTGAAGCGGCCGAGAGTTTTATTCTTCAGAGCGTTTATTCATCATCCCTTAAATACAAAACATTTGATCAAAAACAAAACAAAGATGAAGTTAAATGTCTTCTCCTCAAATAGCTAAATCTCAGAGGGGTTCAATCACACCACAAAAATGATTATTATTATTTCTCTGACCCAGAATGGACAGTGTGATATGAACTCGTCTCACGGAGAGACAGGAAGGAATCAAACATCCAGAGTGATTCTTCTTCCACGCTGACAGTGAGTGGCCTCTCCTCTGACATGAATTATTTATGGCTTTCAGCTCACGGAAACGGCGGAGAAAAAAAGAGTCAAAGCGGAAAAAATTGGAGGAAAAAAACATGGCCTCCTGAGTTTGGCACCTGTTACCAGGATTCACAGCTGAGGGCAGCAGGGTCTTAACCCGGATGAATGTGTCAATACGCCGAGACAAAAAGGTTTCCATGAATGTGACGCTATCAAATTATCCACAGCCTGAAAGTGTGAGATTGTCTTTTTCCTCAATCACAGGTTATCAGTCTCCAACTGTTGCCATGATGACCTCCTCCGTTAGGCGCTGTGCTCTGCGCTAAATCTCCTGCAGAGACAGGAAGCGATTTTATGTTAAAGCCCAGTGGAGATGGCCTGATGTGCAATGATTCAGTCTCCTGTTTTTTTTTTTTTCCCACTATCTTGCGTTATACGAGCTCACTTAACCTCATGCTCCGCTTAACTGACTACCCGACGGCAAGGACAATCGTGCTGCCCTTTGGTGCGAATTTGTCTGCGTGAGAAGTGCACACACACCGGGACACATGACACACATACAGAGATGAGTAATACTCCTGAGGTAAAGCCTGTTGTGTAACTGCCTTGATGTATTTTTGTGGCATCAGCGTCTGTGAAGGTAAAGCAGCCAGAAGGAAAGCTTATCCAATTTAACGCAGGTTATTAGCTTAAACAACTTGCTTGCTTAAAATCTGAGCACTAATTGCTAAAATGCAGTTTAATTTTTCTCTCAATGTTTAATTTTTCTCTCCCTCCCGTCGTGCGATCTGCTGCAGGGTGCTGAACACTTCCCGTCCTTTACCTCTTTTAAGAAAAGAAAATTCTTAAAAGTGCAAAGATGGAAATAATTTTAATGAGGGGAAAGAGAAATGAGGACAGTGTTCCCCTTCGAGAGCTTAGAGACGCACCTGAGGGATACAGCAATGTCCTAACACCACACACACCCACACACACGCACGCACGCACGCACGCACACTGTGACATCTGTCTGCACTGCAGCAAAAACCTCCTAGAACTTGACGCCAGTCATCAGGGACAGTTATGCAAACATCTACAGCATTTTTTGGATTCCACTGAGGCAATAACAAAATTCGATGCAATAACAAGATGATGCACATTAAATAGAAACATAATGAAGTGTTCGAATCTTCTAAACGTAAATCCCCTGTGTTTGCATGCACCCCTGTTTGTAACACAGCCTCGCTACTGAACTCAAAATTAGGCAAACATCAGAAGTGTTTTCTTCACAACAAAGTCAAAGTCATCAGATTTGGCCCGCCTCCTCTCCGTCCTCCACCATTGTGCTCGCTAACCTTGCCGTCTCCGTCAAACTGACATCATCATATAATCTGATTTTAGTTGACGGCTGGCTCTGGCTTCATCTGATTACTAAAATGGTGCTGGATTATGTTTTGTGACCTTTAACAGATCGGCAGTGCAGTGGATCCTATCAGATAGTTTTGGGTAAACTGTGACTTTGATGGAAAGCTCACAAAAATATTGGATTAAATGTTCCGCTTCTTGCAGTCGGACCTTCCTCAGAGTCTAACTCTTAAACTTCTAACTAATAAAAAGTTAATGAAAAAAGTCTATCATTTGGGTTTTAAGCCGACATAAAATCTCATGCTCTCCTGCTCACTTCTGGTTGATTGAAACAACTTTTACTCCAATTAGCATTAATCCAACTCGTACACAATAATTGGCGAGCCAGCCAGGAGCTGTAACGTGTGGGTTCAATTGTATTTTCAGTAATAACAGCACTTGTGGTAAAGATTTAAGAAACATATGTTGAGTTGGATGTTCTGTTCTGACGTTTTTTATTTGTCACTGATTTAAAGGTCACATATTACACAAAATCCCCTTCTCAAAGTTTCTCTGACACTAATATGTGTCCCTCGTCTGTCTACACGATGAGAAAAGTCCATCCTCTCCGTCTTCTGCCTGCTCCACTTTTCTGAAAATGTGTGCTCAAACAGGCTGTTTGGAGATTTTCCCTTCATGACATCACAAAGGGCAGTAACCCCTCCCCCAGGTGGGTGACACTCCCACAGCTAGGTGTTTGTTCTGTCCTCTGAGTCTGCCTTCTCACCGTAAACAATAGGACATGGAGCGAGAAAGCCCGAGACACCCAATCCCTTTTAGAGAGGGGCGTGGCCAGACACAGCTAATTTACATATTTAAAGGTACAGACACAGAAACAGCCTGTTCTGAGCAGGGCTGAAATAGAGGGGTTTATAGACATGATCAAATACAGGATCAGAGTGGATTTAGAACAAGAAACTTCACACACATGCTTTGGGGAGCGCTGAGACTTATTTACACTGGTTGAAGAGGAGGAGAATATGTCACCTTTAAGCCCTTTTTTGCAAACTGTTTGTTGCACCTTTTCATATCACGTGACAAGAGAATGCAGTTCATTTTGCAGCCATGTTTCCTCAGCAATGATAGCGATAAAAGGTAACAAGGTAAGATGTGAAGGACAATGTAGGCGTCAAAAATTCTGAGTACATTAAAATTTTCCAAAATTTA